GTCATCTGTCCTACTGGCGTCACCCAAGTCTGTCCTACTGGCGTCATCTATCCTACTGGCGTCATCTGTCCTACTGGCGTCATCTGTCCTACTGGCGTCATCTATCCTACTGGCGTCATCTGTCCTACTGGCGTCATCTGTCCTACTGGCGTCATCCAAATCTGTCCTACTGGCGTCATCTGTCCTACTGGCGTCATCTGTCCTACTGACGTCATCTGTCCTACTGGCGTCATCTGTCCTACTGGCGTCATCTGTCCTACTGGCGTCATCTGTCCTACTGGCGTCATCTGTCCTACTGGCGTCATCTGTCCTACTGGCGTCATCTGTCCTACTGGCGTCATCTGTCCTACTCGCGTCATCTGTCCTACTGGCGTCATCTGTCCTACTGGCGTCATCTGTCCTACTGGCGTGTTCTGTCCTACTGGCGTATTCTGTCCTACTGGCGTCATCCAAATCTGTCCTACTGGCGTCATCTGTCCTACTGGCGTCATCTGTCCTACTGGCGTCATCTGTCCTACTGGCGTCATCCAAATCTGTCCTACTGGCGTCATCTGTCCTACTGGCGTCATCTGTCCTACTGGCGTCATCCAAATCTGTCCTACTGGCGTCATCTGTCCTACTGGCGTCATCTGTCCTACTGGCGTCATCTGTCCTACTGGCGTCATCTGTCCTACTGGCGTCATCTGTCCTACTGGCGTCATCTGTCCTACTGGCGTCATCTGTCCTACTGGCGTCATCTGTCCTACTGGCGTCATCTGTCCTACTGGCGTCATCTGTCCTACTGGCGTCACCCAAGTCTGTCCTACTGGCGTCATCTGTCCTACTGGCGTCATCTGTCCTACTGGCGTCATCTGTCCTACTGGCGTCACCCAAGTCTGTCCTACTGGCGTCATCTGTCCTACTGGCGTCATCTGTCCTACTGGCGTCATCTGTCCTACTGGCGTCACCCAAGTCTGTCCTACTGGCGTCATCTGTCCTACTGGCGTCATCTGTCCTACTGGCGTCATCTGTCCTACTGGCGTCATCTGTCCTACTGGCGTCATCTGTCCTACTGGCGTCACCCAAGTCTGTCCTACTGGCGTCATCTGTCCTACTGGCGTCATCTGTCCTACTCGCGTCATCTGTCCTACTGGCTTCATCTGTCCTACCGGCGTCATCTGTCCTACTGGCGTCATCTGTCCTACTGGCGTCATCTGTCCTACTGGCGTCATCCAAATCTGTCCTACTGGCGTCATCTGTCCTACTGGCGTCATCTGTCCTACTGGCGTCATCCAAATCTGTCCTACTGGCGTCATCTGTCCTACTGGCGTCATCCAAATCTGTCCTACTGGCGTCATCTGTCCTACTGGCGTCATCTGTCCTACTGGCGTCATCTGTCCTACTGGCGTCATCTGTCCTACTGGCGTCATCTGTCCTACTGGCGTCATCTGTCCTACTGGCGTCATCCAAGTCTGTCCTACTGGCGTCATCTGTCCTACTGGCGTCATCTGTCCTACTGGCGTCATCTGTCCTACTGGCGTCATCTGTCCTACTGGCGTCATCTGTCCTACTGGCGTCATCTGTCCTACTGACGTCATCTGTCCTACTGGCGTCATCTGTCCTACTGGCGTCATCTGTCCTACTGACGTCATCTGTCCTACTGACGTCATCTGTCCTACTGGCGTCATCTGTCCTACTGACGTCATCTGTCCTACTGGCGTCATCTGTCCTACTGGCGTCATCTGTCCTACTGGCGTCATCTGTCCTACTGACGTCATCTGTCCTACTGGCGTCATCTGTCCTACTGGCGTCATCTGTCCTACTGACGTCATCTGTCCTACTGGCGTCATCTGTCCTACTGGCGTATTCTGTCCTACTGGCGTCATCTGTCCTACTGAGGTCATCTGTCCTACTGGCGTTATCTGTCCTACTGGCGTCATCTGTCCTACTGGCGTCACCCAAGTCTGTCCTACTGGCGTCATCCAAATCTGTCCTACTGGCGTCATCTGTCCTACTGGCGTCATCTGTCCTACTGGCGTCATCTGTCCTACTGGCGTCATCTGTCCTACTGGCGTCATCTGTCCTACTGGCGTCATCTGTCCTACTTGCGTCATCTGTCCTACTGGCGTCATCTGTCCTACTGGCGTCATCCAAGTCTGTCCTACTGGCGTCATCTGTCCTACTGGCGTCATCTGTCCTACTGGCGTCATCTGTCCTACTGGCGTCATCTGTCCTACTGGCGTCATCTGTCCTACTGGCGTCATCTGTCCTACTGGCGTCATCTGTCCTACTGGCGTCATCCAAATCTGTCCTACTGGCGTCGTCTGTCCTACTGGCGTCATCCAAATCTGTCCTACTGGCGTCATCTGTCCTACTGGCGTCATCTGTCCTACTGGCGTCATCTGTCCTACTGGCGTCACCTGTCCTACTGACGTCATCTGTCCTACTGGCGTCATCTGTCCTACTGGCGTCATCTGTCCTACTGGCGTCATCTGTCCTACTGGCGTCATCTGTCCTACTGGCGTCATCTGTCCTACTGGCGTCATCTGTCCTACTGGCGTCACCCAAGTCTGTCCTACTGGCGTCATCTGTCCAATTGGCGTCATCTGTCCTACTGGCGTCATCTGTCCTACTGGCGTCATCTGTCCTACTGGCGTCATCTGTCCTACTGGCGTCATCTGTCCTACTGACGTCATCTGTCCTACTGGCGTCATCTATCCTACTGGCGTCATCCAAATCTGTCCTACTGGCGTCATCTGTCCTACTGGCGTCACCCAAGTCTGTCCTACTGGCGTCATCTGTCCTACTGGCGTCATCTGTCCTACTGGCGTCATCTGTCCTACTGGCGTCATCTGTCCTACTGGCGTGTTCTGTCCTACTGGCGTCATCTGTCCTACTGGCGTCATCTGTCCTACTCGCGTCATCTGTCCTACTGGCGTCATCTGTCCTACTGGCGTGTTCTGTCCTACTGGCGTATTCTGTCCTACTGGCGTCATCTTTCCTACTGGCGTCATCCAAATCTGTCCTACTGGCGTCATCTGTCCTACTGGCGTCATCTGTCCTACTGGCGTCATCTGTCCTACTGGCGTCATCTGTCCTACTGGCGCTGTTCTACTGGCGTCATCTGTCCTACTGGCGTCATCTGTCCTACTGGCATCATCCAAGTCTGTCCTACTGGCGTCATCTGTCCTACTGGCGTCATCCAAGTCTGTCCTACTGGTGTCATCTGTCCTACTGGCGTCATCTGTCCTACTGGCGTCATCTGTCCTACTGGCGTCATCTGTCCTACTGGCGTCATCTGTCCTACTGGCGTCATCTGTCCTACTGGCGTCATCTGTCCTACTGGCGTCATCTGTCCTACTGGCGTCATCTGTCCTACTGGCGTCATCTGTCCTACTGGCGTCATCTGTCCTACTGGCGTCATCTGTCCTACTGGCGTCATCTGTCCTACTGGCGTCATCTGTCCTACTGGCGTCATCTGTCCTACTGGCGTCATCCAAGTCTGTCCTACTGGCGTCATCTGTCCTACTTGCGTCATATGTCCTACTGGCGTCATCTGTCCTACTGGCGTCACCCAAATCTGTCCTACTGGCGTCATCGACTGGCGTCAACCTCAGGTGTGAAAGAACAAAAAAAAAATCACGTGATTAAAACAACGTCTGCAAGGCGGCTCTGCCAAAAATAACAAAGGCGGGCTGAATGAGATCACTCATGCATGTCCGGAATTTTATCTCCCAAACGATCACATTTCGGCGGCCAGTAGACGGATAGAGCAAAAAATGTTGCACATGGGTATGGACAAGTTTAAGCGCTGTGTAATGGCTGGTATGTTTCTGATTTACTATCTGTAACAGGCTACAGAAATGCTACTTCGATACGGTATAAAACATTGTTTTTTGTCTGAAATATACGGGTAACATTGAGTTTAATGACTACCTGTAATGAATATCCGTGGATAGTTTCTGATTTCGCCCCCCTACCCCACCTGTAACGAAGTAATGAATACCAACGGATCGCATGAAGTTTAACCCCCCACATGTGTATTTATGGATTACATTAGGTTTAATCCCCACCTGTATATCAGACGATTACACAAAGTTTAGACCCCACCCACCTGTTATGAATATCCGTGGATTGTACAAGTTTATCCACCACCCACCTATGTATCCGTGGATTGCATGTATTACCCCCGCCCACCTGTAGTGAATATCCATGGATTACACATACGTTTATCCACCACCCACCTGTTATGAATATCAAATGGATTGCATTAGTTTAACCCCACCCACCTGTAGTGAATATCCATGGATTACAAATATGTTTATCCACCACCCACCGGTAGTGAATATCCATGGATTACACATATGTTTATCCACCACCCACCTGTAATGAATATCCGTGGATTGCATTAGTTTATCCACCACCCACATGTAGTGAATATCCGTGGATTATACATATATGTATCCACCACCCACCTGTAGTGAATATCCGTGGATTATACATGTTTATCCACCACCCACCTGTAGTGAATATCCGTGGATTGCATTAGTTTATCCACCACCCACCTGTAGTGAATATCCGTGGATTGCATTAGTTTATCCACCACCCACCTGTAGTGAATATCCGTGGATTGCATTAGTTTATCCACCACCCACCTGTAGTGAATATCCGTGGATTACACATATATTTATCCACCACCCACCTGTAGTGAATATCCGTGGATTGCATTAGTTTATCCACCACCCACCTGTAGTGAATATCCGTGGATTGCATTAGTTTATCCACCACCCACCTGTAGTGAATATCCGTGGATTGCATTAGTTTATCCACCACCCACCTGTAGTGAATATCCGTGGATTGCATTAGTTTATCCACCACCCACCTGTAGTGAATATCCGTGGATTACACATATATTTATCCACCACCCACCTGTAGTGAATATCCGTGGATTGCATTAGTTTATCCACCACCCACCTGTAGTGAATATCCATGTATTACACATATGTTTATCCACCACCCACCTGTAGTGAATATCCGTGGATTGCATGTCCTCCGATCCCTTGATCCAGCCCTTGACGTAGATGTCCGACATTTTCTCGCCCGTGAAGAAGGCGTCGTCCTCAAGCACGACGTCGTCGGTGTTCCAGATGATACATCGCAGTTCGTAACTGGGGACAAATGTAATACATGATACATCGCAGTTCGTAACTGGGAACAAATGTAATAAACATCGCAGTTCGTAACTAGGGACAAATGTAATACACATTAGTTCGTAGCTGGGGACAAAGATAATACATGATACATCGCAGTTCGTAACTAGGGACAAACATAATAAATGATACATGGCAGTTCGTAACTGGGGACAAATGTAATAAACATCGCAGTTCGTAAATAGGGACAAATGTAATACACATTAGTTCGTAGCTGGAGACAAAGATAATACATGATACATCGCAGTTCGTAACTAGGGACAAACATAATAAATGATACATGGCAGTTCGTAACTGGGGACAAATGTAATAAACATCGCAGTTCGTAACTAGGGACAAATGTAATACACATTAGTTCGTAGCTGGGGACAAAGATAATACATGATACATCGCAGTTCGTAACTAGGGACAAACATAATAAATGATACATGGCAGTTCGTAACTGGGGACAAAGGTAATAAACATCGCAGTTCGTAACTAGGGACAAATGTAATACACATTAGTTCGTAGCTGGGGACAAACATAATAAATGATACATCGCAGTTCGTAACTAGAGACAAATTTAATAAACATTGTAGTTCGTAACTAGGGACAAATGTAACACATATCGCAGTTCGTAACTAGGGACAAAGATATTACATGATACATCGCAGTTCGTAGCTGGGGACAAATGTGATGCATGATATTTCGCAGTTCGTAACTAGTGACAAAGATAATACATGGTACATCTCAGTTCGTAGTTGTGGACAAATAGGATAAATCTTAGTTCGTAGTTGGGGACAAATATGATACATCTCAGTTCGTAGTTGGGGACAAATAGGATAAATCTTAGTTCGTAGTTGGGGACAAATATGATACATCTCAGTTCGTAGTTGTGGACAAATAGGATAAATCTTAGTTCGTAGTTGGGGACAAATATGATACATCTCAGTTCGTAGTTGGGGAAAAATAGGATAAATCTTAGTTCGTAGTTGGGGACAAATATAATACATCTCAGTTCGTAGTTGGTGACAAATAGGATAAATCTTAGTTCGTAGTTGGGGACAAATATGATACATCTCAGTTCGTAGTTGTGGACAAATAGGATAAATCTTAGTTCGTAGTTGGGGACAAATATGATACATCTCAGTTCGTAGTTGTGGACAAATAGGATAAATCTTAGTTCGTAGTTGGGGACAAATATGATACATCTCAGTTCGTAGTTGGGGACAAATAGGATAAATCTTAGTTCGTAGTTGGGGACAAATATAATACATCTCAGTTCGTAGTTGGTGACAAATAGGATAAATCTTAGTTCGTAGTTGGGGACAAATATGATACAATGATGCATGATGAAGTTGAAGCTCATCCTCTAAACCCAACAGCTGTTGATTATATAGTTTGAAGTTTACCGACCACATTAAACCGTTCTTTACATCCGAGGTCAACTAATGACCGGATCTTGAAGAAATGTGTCGTGAGGTCGTAAAGTGTGGTAAGAAAGTCAGCCATCAAAGTGAGACACAAAAGTGAGACACGATAGAACAGAACATGTTGAAAATCTAAAAGTTTGGATACTTCACAGTTCAACAGGTAAACTGTGTCTTTAAGTATTTATTTATAGTTCAATAATCTATCAAATTTCACCAAGGATGCAGCAATGCTTTTGATGACAAACATTATAGAACAGGTCGCATTAACTGTACGTTGGATATTTCTAGCTACACCGGACGTCTGATGAGCTTAAGTGTACTTCAAAATTGCTCCAGTGTTAATTGTTTTACCCTCGTTCAATTCAAGATCGAGAACGTATTCGAATTTTTATGATCATAAAATATTAGCATGTCACTGATTTATTGTCCAACAGCTTCAGTCCTACGTATCGATATCTCATTTATCTTCTCACTTTAAATCTGTTTGCTAAAAACCTAATATCGTCAACTCCGATTCTGTTTACAAAAGCCTAGTATCGTCAACACCGATTCCGTTGAAAAAAAGTATCGAGTGACTGATTGATTCTGTTCATCATAGAGGCTTGTTATTGTTTAACCGAATTTGTTCATCAAAAGCTTAAAACCGTAAAGCTGCAATTTTTTCTAATGAAAAGTATCGCGTTACCGAAGAATCAATTCTGCTGATGAAAATCGTCGAACTTCAGTTTTGTTAAAGGAAAATTTAGCGCCATAAGGATCACCGTTGCCTAGCAACAGATTGCATAGCTGCTGGCTGCGTCTGGCTGGCAGTGTGTGGATGAGGGGGGGGGGGGCGGGAAATGGTTTAAAATAGACTTAGCCCTTAGAGTTCTTACATTGACAATGTGTACTTGTTGGTGAAATTTGAGTTAACTTCTGCACCGTATCTGCTACGCTTCATTTAAAAAAAAAATTCGCATTGCCTATAGGCCTAAAGGGGTCATCCATTTTTGACGTCCACATGCTTTCACTTTCGACCACCCCCCCCCTCTCTCCCCCCCCCCTCCCTTGTGGACGTCATAAATGGATGAAACCATAGATAAACCAAAACTAAAACCTCGGAAGAAAAAAATCCAAAAGTTTGTAATTATTGAAGACCTGAATTTAGTCGCGTCTGCTTCGTAGTTTGAACAGGAGTTGGGTAAATATGACTTTTGTTAGCTTGGTCATTTAGTAAGTCATGTGGCGGTGTTTTTTTTTCCAGACATTTTCCTCCGGAGGGAGGGACTTGAAATTTTCAAGGGGGGGGGGGTGTGGCACACACGTTTCCGGGAAGGTGGAGGGACACTGGTTAAAGTATGTATTTAATACTTATTTTTAATTTCTCGTCCGAGTTGGGGGGGGGGGGGGGGGGGGGGGACGGACGATGGACATGGATCCACTCCTTCGAAAAGCTGCTTGAAAGGAAATGCAAGTTAGCTTGTGTAAATGTCATGACTTAAGTCATGCTAGCTTGTGTATTGAACATGACTTAAGTCATGTTACCCTGTGTATATAACATGACTTTAGGCATGCTAGCTTGTGTATTGAACATGACTTAAGTCATGTTACCCTGTGTATATAACATGACTTTAGGCATGCTAGCTTGTGTATTGAACATGACTTAAGTCATGTTACCCTGTGTATATATAACTTAAGTCATGCTAGCTTGTGTATATGACATGACTTAAGTCATGTTACCCTGTGTACGTGACACGCCTGACTTACCTCTTGGGTTTCCTGGGGGAGATGTCGACGGGCGGCCCTGGGGCGGGCATGTCCATGGGGAACAGGTCGACCCACATCTCTAGCTTGCCCTGGGGGTGGAGACATTTGTCAAGTATTTGACCATCAGGAAGAAAAACAAAAAGAAGAAAAAAAATTAAATAATTAACTCGATATTTCACAATGGCGAGAGATATCTTTAATGTTGTTTCTCAACCAGTGTATCTGCATCTGCCTATCCCAACCTCTCACCTGCTCTATCCTAACCCCTCACCTGCTCTATCCCAACCTCTCACCTGCTCTATCCCACCTATCCCAACCTCTCACCTGCTCTATCCCAACCTCTCACCTGCTCTATCCCAACCTCTCACCTGCTCTATCCCACCTATCCCAACCTCTCACTTGCCTATCCCAACCTCTCACCTGTCTATCCCAACCTCTCACCTGCTCTATCCCACCTATCCCAACCTCTCACCTGCTCTATCCCACCTATCCCAACCTCTCACCTGCTCTATCCCACCTATCCCAACCTCTCACCTGCTCTATCCCAACCTCTCACCTGCTCTATCCCAACCTCTCACCTGCTCTATCCCACCTGCTCTATCCCACCTATCCCAACCTCTCACCTGCTCTATCCCAACCTCTCACCTGCTGTATCCCAACCTCTCACCTGTCTATCCCACCTATCCCAACCTCTCACCTGCTCTATCCCACCTATCCCAACCTCTCACCTGTCTATCCCACCTATCCCAACCTCTCACCTGCTCTATCCCACCTATCCCAACCTCTCACCTGCCCTATCCCAACCTCTCACCTGCTCTATCCCTGGCTTCTCAGGATGGAACAACGGCCTGGTCTCCACATGTTCTGGCACCAGATGACAGCCGACCTTTGGAATCTCGCTCCAGTTGTTGAGGGCAGCCAGAGCCAGGTGCTCGTCTGTCGCCTTCTTCACCCCTGGTGTCATACAATAAAAGTACCATCAGCACTTCATCAACATATAACAACAGTGCAGAGGCGTAGCGATGGGGGGTTCAGGGGGGTACATATGTCCCCGGGCGCCGACCTTGGGGGGCGCCAAAATGGGTTTAAAAAAAAACAATTAAAATGTCATTTTAGCTGCATTTTTGCATTATAAATAGTTTGAGGGGTGGGGGTGCAAATCGAAAAAGTTTGAGGGGGGGGGGGTGCAAATCAAAGTTTGAAAAATTTGCCAAATTGAAAGTTTGCCCCCGGGCGCCGGGAAGGTTCGCTACGCCTCTGCAACAGTGCCGTCATAGTGTTGTGTGGTACTGTTCAGGTCACAACACATAGTACTTCTTTAACACAGAATAAAATGTACCACCAATCTTCATTAACACAGAACAAAAGTGCCACCCAACTTCATCATCATAAAGCTAGTCACTATCTACTTCGTAAACAGAACAAGTGTCAATTCTACGTCATTTTAATGAAACTAAAGCACCATCATACTTTATTGGTAATAACAGTAATAACATGATTTCTGATTAACTTGTGCCGTAGAAAAAAACCAACATTCCTCATTACCAAAAGGCCCAAGTGATAGTACAAGATACACAAACATTCCTTTTCATAAATGTTTTATAGCACTATGTATTAATTATCTGTTTTGAAAAAATATATTTTTATTTTTGAAAGTTCTTATGAAAACACTGCGATATCAAATATAGCTGGAAAAAATGTGCATTAAGGTTCAAGTTAAGGGTTAAAATTTTCGTTCAATGCAACAGTAAGAGACAGGGTTAGGGTTAAGGATCTCGGGGTCGATCCCGTACAATGTACCTGAGTCCACCCAGCTCTAATGAGTACCTGACGCACAATACGGAAAGTAAAGGCGGCTGGGCATAGTGTTAATCACACTATCACTTAGTATGCCGAAGTAACTGAAGCACGTGAACTCTACTTTAACTGCCTCATGGATTGAAAGGTTCGAAATGGTAATTTTTAAAGTAGTGAAAGTAGATTTAAAAAATCGATTTTGTCCTGCTGATTTTTAATTACGATTCTAAACACGACAAATAAACGGGGACAAAATGGCGAGAATAGACAAACGAAGGCCAGTTGGCCAATACCGTTCTCATCCTCGATCTCTACAGAATAGACAAAGGAAGGCCAGTTGGCCAATACTGTTCTCATCCTCTATCTCTACAGAATAGACAAACGAAGGCCAGTTGGCCAATACCGTTCTCATCCTCGATCTCTACAGGGGCCGTGAAGATCCTGTTGGCCACCCGCACCTTCCCAGGCTGGTAGTGTGGGCCATCCACTTTACCATCTTTACACAGTTTGGCCAAGATCTGGGTGGGTTTTTGGGGGTCTCTCCACGCGTTGTAGCCGTGCCTGTGGGGTGGTGTAGGGGTTTAGGGGTATGGGTTATGGTTATGGTTAAGTTGATGTGGTATGTGTATGTCACTGTGGTGTGTTAGTTATGGTCATGTGTGGATTAAACGAAGGCGTGGATTATGGTTAATTGTAGGTTAAGGCAATTTTGAGGTTGTGTTAAAGATATGGGTTATGATCCTATGTGAGTTATAGTAATGTAAGCGTTATGGTTATATGAAGGTAACGATACAGTGTGGGGTATGTTAATATGTGGGTTATGGTAAAGTGTAGGTTATAGATATGTGTAGATAGCATTAATGTGTGTAATATGGTGATGTGTTGGTTATAGATATATGTAGATAAAATTAATACAAGGGTTATGGTAATATATGGGTAATTATAAAGTGTGTGTTATGCTAATGGATGTGTTACGATAATGTATGGGTTATGAGTATGTGTGGGTAAGTATCATAAGTTTAAAAGATACTCATATAATTCTTTAGATTTTCATGTATTTCTTTCTACTCTCCCAGTTTGGATTCGATCCCACTCTCACAGTGTAAACACTTTACATACCTCAGAGAGTAACATGTAATCGATTATTTAAAAAGTTCGAATACTCACAGCTCGTACTTGTGTGCCAGACCACACGTGGCTCGATGCCGGCTGTAGTATCGATTCTCAAGGTCAACTTTGGTCTCACCGATCAGGTCGTCGACCCCAATGAGATCCCAGTCGTAGACTTGGACCGTCAGGAGGGATTCCATGGGGAAGGTGGCTTCCATTTCAAAGCACCTGCACGAGACGGGGGGGGGGGGGGGTGGGGGGGGACAAACAGTTGACCAATGAATGTAATTGTAATGTTAAGAGAGACAGTTTGTTTTGTTTTGTCAGAGGTGATGACGTTAGTATAAGGTCGTAAGGTAATAAGGTCATATGGTTATAAGGTTATAAGGTGTAGAGTCAGGGAATGTTGAGAGTGGGCGTGGATGTAGGGAGAGTGGATGTGAATGTCATCAGTGGATGTGAATGTCATCAGTGGATGTGGATGTCATCAGTGGATGTGGATGTCATCAGTGGATGTGGATGTCATCAGTGGATGTGGATGTCATCAGTGGATGTGAATGTCATCAGTGGATGTGAATGTCATCAGTGGATGTGGATGTCATCAGTGGATGTGGATGTCATCAGTGGATGTGAATGTCATCAGTGGATGTGGATGTCATCAGTGGATGTGGATGTCATCAGTGGATGTGAATGTCATCAGTGGATGTGAATGTCATCAGTGGATGTGGATGTCATCAGTGGATGTGAATGTTGAGATTGAATGTGGATGTTGAGACTGAATGTGGCTGTTGAGAATGAATATGAATGTGACATTGAATGTGAATGTTGAGATTGAATGTGGATGTTGACATTGAATGTGGATGTTGAGATTGAATATGGATGTTGAGATTGAATATGGATGTTGAGATTGAATGTGGATGTTGAGAGAGTGGATATGGATTTCATCAGTGGATATGGATGTCAACCGTGGATATCGATCTTGACAGTAAAAGTGAAAGATATCAATCAGCAGATGAAAGAACGATTAAAAACCGCAATTCAACAGATGGTCTAACTCCCACCCCATCTACAACAAACACGTAGCCAACCACAAGCTGAACCACCACGACCAACGTGTAACCTTCAGACCCAGAACAGACCACAATAGAAGGAGGCATAACAAATTCTGGAAAACGCAAGTTGATCTCAGAGTGACATCCCCTTGTGGTACTGCCCAGAAAAACAGCGAACATTTTCCACAAGACTGCCCTTGGTACCAACAGGCACGGTCTGGCACTAAAACACTCCGGTCATAGAAAAATTGTACGGGACCCTTGCTGAGCTGGCGACAACCGTGAAATCGTCTGCACGTGGGACTAGATGTATGATCCACTACTGTAAACATATTATAAGGAAAAGGAAGAGAGACTGGGACTATATGATGTTTCATGCGGACGGTAATTTTTATCTAAACTTTTTTTTTTTACAAACATTTGTTACTGTATGTGGTTATCATTTTTTTTTAAATGCTAAAGTTAAGTATTATTACGACAAGGACGACATTGCTATTTGTGACAATGATGATATGGCCAGATAAAAGTGGCTTTTTGTTGCGTTATTCTACAGAAGTGTGTCTTTATCCTGAGTTTGATTATTGAAGCCATTTCACGGATTAAAAAAGGCCAGTTTAACTTGATGCGTTATTTAAAAATTCGTTAAAGAATGGACTTTTGGTTACAAAATTTGTTGGTATAATATAACGTTAGTAGTATATTAGGTCACTTTTGGGTCGCAGGCGCAGGCGCTGGGTGAGCAGGAGCAGGAGCAGGAGCAGGAGCAGGAGCAAAGGATATATAGGAAAATACTCCCCCAGCCTGGGACAATGACATATAGTAAAATACTCACCCACCAGGCGCAGCCTGCCGCAGCCTGGGACAATGAGATATAGTAAAATACTCCCTGGGGGAGCAGGAAGTACACCGACATATAGCAAAATACTCACCCATCTGGGTGAGGGTGGGTGAGCAGGTGGCGCAGCCTGGGACAACGAGATATAGGAAAATACTCACCCACCTGGGTGAAGGTGGGTGAGGGTGGGTGAGCAGCCTGGGACAATGAGATATAGTAAAATACTCACCCACCCTAGGGTGGGTGAGCAGGTGGGGGAGTAGGTCAGTAGGTCACCACCGGTGACCTTGTGACGTAATTAGTAACATTATGACGTAATCATTGACCTAGTTACGTAATTTTAATGTGTTTTTTAATTAGTTTTAATGAGTTTTTTAAATTTTAATTAATTTTTTACCTAGTTACGTAATTTTAATGTATTTTTTAATTAGTTTTAATGAGTTTTTAAATTTTTAATTAATTTTTATTATCGAGTTACGTAATTTTAATGTGTTTTTTAATTAGTTTTAATGAGTTTTAAAAATTTTAATTAATTTTTATAAACGAGTTACGTAATTTGATTATTTGTTTGAGTTTTTAAATTTTTAATTAATTTTTATTATCGAGTTACGTAATTTAATTACTTTGATTGTATTTTTATTTTGTTTAATTTGTTTGTTTACTTGTTGTTTAATTTAATTACTTTGTTTATATTGTGTAATTTTTATTAACGAGTTACGTAATTTGATTATTTGTTTACTTTTTAATTATTTTTATTTTGTTTATTTTTAATTTAATTTAATTTTATAATTAGTTTAATTATTATTAACGAGTTACGTAATTTGATTTTAATTTTTTTTAAATTTTTAAATTTTTTTTAAATTATTATTTTTTAAATTTTATTTTTAATTGTTGTTTACTTGTTGTTTAATTTAATTACTTTGTATAATTTATTTGTTTGAAATTCATTTTAATTAGTTTGCTTTTAATTTCTTTGTTGTACGCCGTTTGAAATAAAAGACTAACACTAGCGTGTACTAGAAAGTGTCATTGTGTATAACATCCATTTAACCACAGCTGTTACTTATTAGCGACAGCTTGTACTTATCGATCCGCCCGTGAGCCTCCCCGGCGCTCCCCGTGGTGCTTAATAGCGGACTCACTGAAGCGATCACAACAGGTAATTAATCGAAACCATTAAGTCCCTCTCCGCGTTAAGTGTGGCGACAGCTGGTGCTGTAATTAGTCACGGCTCTCGGCTTTTTTCATTAGACTTCAGCTGTACATGAACTATGTTCACATATCGTACGCCCGGTCATTCTTTGATCAAATTAAAAAAAATTGTTTCCACATGTCCTGCGAATCGTCCCTTGCTATGTATGAAAGATTAATGGTTGTAACTATTCGCTTATAGCGAGGGTCAGCGAAAACAAAAATATATTTAAGGGTCGGAATTTTCTTTCAACCACCGTTAAGTCAGGTTTTGAGACGAAACGAAGTCTCGGTAGGTTCGTGTTTTTTAATGGGCGACACGGCGACTTGATGCGTTGGTACGTAGGTATGCGGGGTTAAGGTTCTATAACTCTATATATTTAAATACGTTTTTTTTTTTTTTTTTTTTTTATTCAAATGAGTTTACTCCCCCTAACGTAAGTACATGTAAAGAGGGATTTCCTATAGATCTGTAATGAATTAGGCCTTTTTGACTATGACTTGTTGCCCAGGTGTTGACATGATACGCTTTTTTGAGATATACATACACACACACACACACACACACAAACACACACACACACACACACACACACACATGCGCGCGCGCGCGAAATTCATACTAGGTCGGTAATGGCGGAGAGAACTTATAGGTATACATTATCATGGCGACAACAAAAGCGACTCTTATTTTATTTACATGAAAGCGTGTTTTCCAAAAAGTGTCACCATGCCATTGTCATTTTCGCAGCGGGGTTTATTTTAAGTGTACCCCGTGCACGGTTGTTTACATTTTAAAAGACGTGTCGCGTGTCTTCCCCTTACGGCTTCCCTAATAGAGAAACGAGAGGAAAGACAACTGTTCTAAAATTAGAACAGACTTGTCTACACACACGAGTATCGTCCCTTGTGAAAAAAAAAAAAAAAAATTCGCGTCAGATTCCTTAACTAAACAGTCAATTTCTTTAACAAGTTAAAAAATAATTTAGGAAGACAAGGGTTAACAACATTAGACGCTACCGTTTTTGTTTCCTGTGACGACAAGGCACAATACACTTTTGTATTTTATGTCTCAAGTAGAGGGTGGGATATTTTTTCTTTGTAAGCGTGTTGTAAACAATGGGTAGAGGAAGCGATTACTAGGTAAGAGGGGAGAGAACGTGACGTACATCGCGATATTTGAAAACATGGCGATGTTTAACCTCAACCAAAAAAGGCAATGAACCTAGAAGGAAGACGAATATATATCTTAGTCTTGCAGCAGATTACCTCCCCGTGTTCGCTTTAGTATTACAGTTTTCATCAAACTTCTTTTTGACTTGAACTTCGTTAATTTTTAAGAAAGTTTACTTATACATAATACACTACGTCTAATGACAAGTTTTTATTTTTACCACTCAATGTATTTTCTTTTTCTATACCTTACATTGTCATCTTAATTTTTGATCACCTTAGTAAAAATTTGCTTAAGATTATAAACTTCAAGTTTTAAAAAACAACAACGTCGTGTCAAATGACACACCGTTTAAAATGTCTACATTTAAAGTTCACCAAAATAATGACGTAAAAACTAAATATCATATGACATTAGCATACATATCATTCAATCTAATCACTCTAAAGTACAAATCAATAATTTTTATTGATTAAGGGGCTGGGTGAGTTATTTTTTATTCGGGTGCCCAGGGAAGGTTTGGAGTTGGCTAGGGGCACCGTTCATACTAGAGTCGGTGACGTTTTCACCGAGGCAGGGTTCGAAGCTAGACCATACATGTTTTGGAATCGTTAGGGGTCGAGTCTATAGTAGGGTCGCGGGAGTTTTGTTAACACAGAGGGATGTTTCGAAGTTGATACATCCATGTTTTAGAATTGATAGGTAGAGCGTCCATACTAGGGTCGGTGAAGTTTTCACCGAGGCAGGTTACAAAGCTGGGACATGCATGTTTAGGAATTGTTGGCAGTCGCGTTCATACTAGGGTCGGGGAGTTTTGCTAACACTGAGGCAGGTTGTAAAGTTGGTACAGGCATCCTTGGAATTGTTAGGGGCCGTGTTCATACTAGGGTCGGTGAAGGTTGGATTTGAACTCGGAACATGTATGTTTTGGAATCGGTAGGGCTAGAGTTCATACTAGTGTCGGTGAAGGTTGGTT